TCCAAATTTGAAACTATACTACAAATTGGAAACTATACCACTGTGATAAAAGCAGCATGGTACTGGCAAAGAAACAGACCTGAGGATCAGTGGAACAGACTGGAAGATACAAAAACTACTCCAAATGTACTCAACTACCTAATCTCTGACAAAGGATCCAATCAGCCTCACTGAAGACAAGATAGTCTCTTCAATAAATGGTGTTCGAAAAACTGGATTTCAACCTGCCAAAGATTAAAACTAGACCCTTATCTCTCACCATGCACTGAACTAAAATTGAAGTGAATTAAATATCTAAATATTAAAAAAGAAACACTAAACTTGCTGGAAGATAAGTTAGGCAGAACTCTTGAAGACACTGGCATAGAAAAAGACTTTATGAACAAATCCTCAGTAGCACAGGAACTAGCAGAAAGAATCAACAACTGGGATCTCATCTTATTAAAAAGCTTCTGTACTGCAAAAGAAACCATCAACAGAAATAAAAGACAGCCTACAACTTTTACCAGCTGCTCCTCAAACAAAGGGCTCTTATCTAGAGTATATAAAGAACTCAAAACAATCAGCCTCCCCCAAATATAAAGACCCATTTAAAAAACAGGCACCTGAAATGAGCAGACATTTTTCAGACAAAGAAGTAAAAGCAGCAAGTAAATATATGAAAAAATGTTCCACATCACTGATCAATCAAGAGATGCAGATGAAAACAACATTGAGATTCCACCTCACCCCACAAAGAATGGTTGCTGTCAAGGAAACACTTAATAACAAATGCTGGCAGGGTTGTGGGGAGAAAGGAACCCTTCTCCATTGTTGGTGGGAGTGCAGACTGGTGCAATCACTGTGGAAATCAATATGGAGATACCTCAAAGAGCTGGGACTAGAGGTTCCATTTGACCCAGCCATCCCTCTGCTGGGTATCTTTCCAAAAGAATTAAAAGAATTTATCATGGTGATATATGCACACCTATGTTTATAGCGGCACAGTTTGTAATAGCTAAAACTTGGAAACAGCCCATTTGCCCATCAGTGGGAGACTGGATAAAGAAGATGTGGTTCTTCTATAAAGTGGAGTACTACTCAGCCATAAAGAATGAAAAATTAGGGGACAGGGATTTACCTCAGCGGTTCGGTGGCCTGCTTTGCAAGTGCAAGGACCAGAGTTCAATCCCCAGTACCAAAAAAAAAAAAAAGAATGAGAAATTAGATTCATTCATAGGAAAATGGATACATATTGAGGATACACTCCTAAGTGAAATAAGTAAGTCACACATGTGTAAATACTGAATAGTTTCCCTGGTGTGAAAAGCTATGATAGTACATAAGATCCTAATGATATAATTGACAATGTGAAATAGGAAGAAAGGGACTAAAGGTGTAGGGAAAGTGGAAGGAGTAGGGGAAAGGCAATAAGGGAAAAGAAAAAAATATGAGAAAATGAAAAAATGGAAAAGAAGTGTTTGAAAATGGGGAGGGGAGGAGGGGGTAAAGGGAGGGCAGGGACAAGGGGGATAAATGAGGACCAAGACTTGTCATGTAAAGGTACAAAATCCCAGAAATGAATGTAACTGTACTGTATACCTAGAATGTACCAATAAATTCAATGAGAGAGAAAAAAAGAAAAAGAAAATCTCCATGCAGAGGAAGCCACAGATAGGTCCACACTGACGGTCCTGCCTCTTGGCTGCAGTTATTTGAGGGCTGAACAATTTCACATATTGTGTAGTTCTTGACTTGTGCTAATTTTTACTATACTCTATATCCTGTATACACAGCACACAAAAGCATAAAATAGTCCCTAACATTAAAATAGAATTATGGGTAGAAGTTTTGCAACATGAATAGGAAAAAATAAACTTAATTGGAAAGATATTATTAAATGTTAAGGTAAGCGTGTCTTCTTTATCTTCCAAATGTGGCATTTGGGCACAGTGCTTTGATAGCAGATCAAGTTTTGCATGCCCATGTGACTATTTCCTTTCACATCCCTGGGGCATACGCTGTTCAACCTTCAGCAAAGTTTCTGTCTTGTTCCTATTCATCAATTGTAAGACTCCAAATTTCAAATATTTCTATACGAACTCAGAGAATAAGCTATTCAGCACGTTAAAGGTTCAGCAAACCTATACCAGGATGTAAAAGTAAGTGTGATCATATTCTTGTAGTGAAAGCACAAGTATTGTTTAATTTTTTTACTTAATAAAATGCTGAAAGTTTAACTGCTGTTTTTTCGATGAACAGTCAATTGTCCTTTGGTATAGACTCCCAGGCTCCCCAAAAAGGGTCTGAGTCCATAAAATATTAAAAAACTAAAATGCAACTCACCTTAAAAATCTCAGCTGCCTAATACCTAGTGTGAGGCCAGATGCCCGTAGCATTTCATTTACATAAAGTCATTCACTGAGCAGCTAAGAGACATCCTGGCATTGTGTGAAACTGTGCAGATATAGAGGGTGCAAGAAGAGCTCCTTCCCTTCCTTCGGTGCTTACTTTCATTACTGAATAGGAACTACAGCCTGGCATTATTTTTTTCTTTTTATTGAGTTTATTGGTACATTCTAGGGATACAGTACAGTTACATCCATTGTTGGGATCTTGAACCTCTGCATGACAGGTCTTGGTTCTCATTTTTCCCCTTGTCCCTGCCCTCCCTTCACCCCCTCCTCCACTCCCCATTTACAAACACTTCATTTCCATTTTTTCATTTTCTCATATTTTTTTCTTTTCCCTTATTACCTTTCCCCTACCCTTCCTACTTTCCCTACACCTTTAGCCCTTTTCTTCCTATTTCACATTGTCAATTATCTCATTAGGATCTTATGTACTATTATAGTTTTTCACACCAGAGAAACTATTCAGTATTTACACGTGTGACTTATTTATTTCACTTAGGAGTGTATCCTCAATATGTATCCATTTTCCTGTGAATGAATCTAATTTCTTATTCTTTATGGCTGAGCAATACCCCATTTTATAGAAAAACCACATCTTCTTTATCCAGTTTCCAACTGATGGGCAAATGGGCTGTTTCCCACTTTTAGCTATTACAAACTATGGTAGGCTGGCATTATTAAGTAATATTTTTATTCATACTTCTGTTTCCTGAGATTTTTTTTAATCTAAAAATTAGGGAAACTCGTGTCTTACACAGGATTTAAAGCAATGATCAGATTATAGAAAAACCACATCTTCTTTATCCAGTTTCCAACTGATGGGCAAATGGGCTGTTTCCCACTTTTAGCTATTACAAACTATGGTAGGCTGGCATTATTAAGTAATATTTTTATTCATACTTCTGTTTCCTGAGATTTTTTTTAATCTAAAAATTAGGGAAACTCGTGTCTTACACAGGATTTAAAGCAATGATCAGAGCTACCTGGAGAAAAACCTCTTGTACAAATCTGGTAACTAGACATTTCTGAATGGGACGGGGGTGATTTCTTCATGGTTACAGAAAATCGTTTTTACCATTTCTTCAACAAAGCTGCCCTCTTCCAAAAAAAATGCATGAATTATCTGATTTTTATATTACTGAACAAACGTGCAAGCAAAATATGCACATACTCACCGATAGTCACACATCACGGTACATCACGGTTAGTGAAGCTCAGGAAGAAGCTGAGTTCTGCTAGCCCCAGAAATAAATTAACATGCAGCTAACATCAGAGCAGCCAGAAACACTCATTGCAAGTGTGAACACATATTTGATTGCAGGGCTGTGTCTTTCCTAGGGCTGACCTTATAAATTAAACAGTGTAAATCTCAAGTAAGTGTTTCTGAACATTTTGATTCACTGTGAACATTAGGATGCCCTTCAAATTAACATCTAACATTATTAGCCTATTGTTGGACACAGACGCCTCAGTACTGTGTGCAACTGAAAAGACATACATGCACACATTGGCACTGAAACGCAGCTCCTGAAAGGAATACAAGGAGCTCTTTAAAATGTGGGGGAGTAAAAATGGAAATAGGAAGGTTTTTAGACTTGGATGCCGAATTTTCATATGGAAAAATCACTTAAAATGGTAAATAAAGCATTCCCTTTGGGAGCTCAGAGGCATCCTAACAAGAAAGCAACCAATAAGCACCAATAACCGAACACCCTGCATCCCCAGGGCTTCACTACAATGATTCGCTTTTATACCCAAGTCTCCGTTTGCAGTCTCCTTACTCCCAGAAGCACTGCCTAGCCCACCATATAAACTACGCTGCCACTGTATTCAGCAGAGTCTCACGCTGACCCTTGACTTACCCCATTCTCCCTCCTGAGCTCAATTCCAAACAGCAACTGACACTGCCTGCATTGTTTACTCCTCTCCAGTCAATGCCTGACACAATGTGTGCTTCTGAACTCAATCAAAGAATAAATCTAGACACAAAATTAGCACAGGTAGCCCGAACTCATCTCTAGCAAGTACGGAAGAGCGACTGCGAAAGCCTCCGATGAAGAAACCAGAGTCAAAGAAAAAGGAAAACACAAAGGTAGCTCACCTCCATGAACTCAAAGTTAGTTAAGTTTTACTCAAGTACTAACCCAGCACCACTCATGGGATGCAGTGCTGACCTCCAGATTACTGATTGTTTGCCAATCAACCAAGAATGCACAGTTCTTCAAAGGGAGAGGAATCCCACTTTAGATCACCAGCAGGTTCTCAATTTGACTATTTCTCAGTTGGGATGGGGAATAAAATATGACAGCACCTCCAGTTTGGGAGCCAATCCACCAAAACCACAGGAGGTGGAGTTGCACGTAGCGAGGACAGATAACCAGCGAGTTGTGGTAACCAGCGAGCATCGCCATGGTCAGCATGGCTGAGAATTGTAAAATGCGCTTGGCAAAGGGTAGAAAGCAGCTATTTGCAATGTCAGCACAAGTGTCCAAATTAAAAGGAGATTTTCACATCTGTTCATATTTTACCTGCAATTCTACGATCTCTTATGTGAACCTGGCCTGTAACTCCCCATTCTTTCCTGGGCTCCCTCTTCCCACGACTCACCTGTAGTGTCTGGAAATCTCTTCTTCCACCTGTGTAATAAAATCACATTTGGTGCATGAGTGTTCTTTGCTCTCCTTGACAGCCTGCGGCCCATCCAGTCCTTGCAGATGATTGGCTTCCTGTTTGACCTCCGACGCTTGGGGCTCATGCACTGTTTCATAGTGGAAGAGGAGCACATCTACGTCAGGGGTGGAAAACGCACACTGGTGGCACTGGTGTTTGACTCGCGAGCTTCCGGCTGCCCCGGGAGACAAGTGCAACAGCAAGAGTGCACAGTGGGAACAATTACTTTTTCTACAAGCAAACGGATAAGTAATTTCTCCAAGGTGCTTTTCTGGGCTGCAAAGGCCTCTGGGGCAGAAGGGACAGTGCTTGATGGTGCACTTGTGGATGTTGTGGAGCTGCTGATAGTGACGCAGGAGCGGCCCCACCACAATGACTTCCGGGCCGTGGCTCTTGGAATACCTAAAGTCGCAGAACTGACAGTTGTAACTGGTGACCACGTTATCCTCCGCTCCCTTGGCGGAGAAGTCCTTCTTCTTAGCCCCACTCAGGCCCTTGTCTGCCTTGGTCATTGGCTCTGCTTCCGCATTTTTGGCTAGATCATTCTGGTTAATGACAGAGCCCCTGGGGAGCTTATCGTTCAGTTCCAGGTTAAGGCCACCTGACGGCACTGCCCCGTGCTGCTTGCCATAATGTTCTAGCAGTTTCAGTGAGCCGGAGGACTCACAGCTGAAACTGCAAAACTTACACCAGTAGTAACTGGTGGCCTCCGTGCTGTTCTGTCTTGAGGAGTCGAGGGGCTTGATGGGCACTGAGTAGCCGATCGGAGTGTCATCTCCTGCCTTCACTGTGATCTTGTCCTGCCACTTTCCCAAGTCTGCAGAATCGCCGGACCGAAGGGCAGGGATGGATTTGTTAGAGTTTTTCTCTGAAGGTTTGGCACCCTCTGAGGAGGACAGAGAAGCTTTGATCTTGTTCGGGTGCGTCTGAAGAAAATGCTGTTCTAGCTCAGTGGATGAGTTGCCCATATAAGTGAAATTGCAGAATTTACAGCGGAAATACTTGGTGTTTCCTTGGCAATCTGGCGTCTTCCGTCCAATGCCAATGAATGTTCCACCTGAAGTGACCTGGAGTGTGGAAGAAATGGGTGTTACTTTAAATGTGTCGTTAATTCTCTGGGTTCGCTGCAGGCTTGAGAGGGGACTCCTAAGTATCCCACATAAACAAAACAGAATAACACAATAGTACTCGTGCTTTGGGGGCAAATCATTTGAATAATCAGGGCTCCCCAAAAATCACTCTTCATTTCTCAACAGCTGCACTGTGAGTGGTTCATCATGATAAACATTTTAGGTCAAAGTAAACAATGAACATAAGGTACAGAAAAGCACTATAACCAATTCACAAGGTTTTACAGCACACACACTTTAAAAACTGAGAAAACTCCCAAATCATCTTTTACTGCTGCATCCTTCCCATCACAATTCCTACGGAAGCATCCCACTACGGAATGGTTTCTTTTCACAAAGTAGCTGTCAAAACCGGAAGCAGTTCACTCAGAGATTACTGGACGCACACATACTCCCAAGGAAATCTTCTGCTGAGCTCCTACAGCAGTGAGGCTGGGGCAAAGATGTCATGTGTCTTTAGAGTAAAATCAAAGTGCTAAAATGACCACACAAAATGGCTCGTGATGAAAACCTCACCACACCCAATGCAACCAAAAGAATACCAAGAACAGGGAGGACAGGATTCTGACAGAGGAGGACTAACAGGGAGAATTTCCCAACAGAAGACAAATGAGAAGAAGAAAATCTTCCCGGCCTTCCCTGGTTAAGGGTCTATTTCACAGCACAATGCTCCCAGCTCCTCCTACCAGTGGGGCACGGGGATAATCAAACGTGAAGTAAGAGGATTCCCCCATCAACACTACCGCAGCTCTGCGCGAACACAGTCAAGGCCTGCGAAAGGTTTCTCGTATGAACCCTTTTCCTCCTCTCTCACTGTACACCTCAACAGGTGGCTCGAGTAAGTGTCATCCCCTGAGCAGCCAAAATTCATAGTTTATTAAAATAGAGTTTTTTGGACTGTCCCCAAGTGAGAGAGACGTTCCTTTTCAAATATCAGTGAAGTTTCAAAATTCTCCAGCAACCAGATGTAATATAGAAACCAAGTGGCACAAGCATGTTCTGCTGTTTCAACAGCTGCTCAAAACTGACATGTGCGATCACTGCTCATCTCCAAATCACTCCATGAGAAAAGTCGCAGGCAACTCAGCATCAAAGGCTCTATTTAAAACTGTGAATAATATGCTGTAGAGCACTGAGGGATCCGTTAGTACTCCCACCAATTGTACATTAACACACCAACAAGTCGCTGCACCTTAACATACTTTCTGAAGGACTCCCACAACCTTTAAACATGGATGGTAGTGCTTCACTTCAGACGCCGGCCTCTTCCTCCACGGCACGCAGAGATTTCAAGTGCTCAATAACAGAGCCTCATCGAACCAGACGGCTGAGACTGGGGCCGCTTTCCCTACTTCCCCCTCACAGTCACCTGACAGGCAGTCACTTGCGTGACCCAGGACCTGAGGAACACCATCCAAAGCACTGTAGCCTAGCATGCCAGTGACGAAAGCAATTAAAACTTGCCCTGAAATGGGATGCATCACTTTGCAAAATTTCTACATGCATTTCCCAATTTGCTGAAGGTGAGAAGAAAGCTTATTTAAACAAAACAAACAAACAAAAAACATTAAATGCCATCCTGAGGTACTTTGTTCAGAAAATTCAACTTGGATCAAAGGAGTAAATTCAGTAGTATCTCATCCTTCAGCATAGGTAAAACCAGAAAGTATGCAAAATCTAGAGATAAAATGTTTTACTGTAGCAAAGATCCCACACTTCAGCGATGTCAGCCTTTTCTAATAGAAAACATTTTGAACTTCTGCTTCTACAAGTAAGATTCCTGAGAAACGACCAGACATCATCATCATTTCTCGATTTTGCAATCTTTAGGCCTCATGTGCCATGACCACACCAAAAGAGCTCCAGAGGGAACACGCATATTCTCAAGAAACCTGGACACACACCATTTCAAAGTGAATTTAAACCCTTATAACAGTGTCACAACAGGAATGCTGACACTTGACAACAACCTTTTAAAAGTCATACGACCCAACCTAAGAAAGATGATTAGCAAGTGAAGAGATCATGAAAGAAAAGCAATTTGGTGAAAAACATCAGTGGCACATACTGGTTTAGGGTTACGGTAGCTATAGATATTACATTATATCTTTTAAATTGGGGTGAACGTATGTCGAACAGTTGTGATTCTTTACCCAAGAAAGATCTGCTTTCGTACATATGTAGTTGAATTATGTTGACAAAAGCTTTCATTCTGACAGTTCTTTCAAGTACCACCAAGCAGCCAACAAAGCTCATGAATCTCATGTAATGATAAGAACAGTGCTGACACTCCCCTAGATTACCCACTTGCCTTGTAAATCACATTAGGATTACATAGCATTTTAAAAGCTATACCAAATATCAGGATCACATAATGGCCAACTTGGGAAAGAATAATTACTTAGAATTTGATTCCCTTTCTCTTTCAAAAAGACTGAAAAGCTGTGTCTGTGGTAATTTTGATATTTTCTACAGTAAAGGATGTACATAAGTCAGAATAAAAAATAACTGATTCACATAATTTACATGCTACCCTAAAACAACACACAACTTACTATTTTAGAAACAATAGCCATTCCTACTGACTATAGTTACTGTATTTTTTATCTCTTCATTTCTAGGTTAAAAAAAATAAATACACAGCAAGAACATTTATGCAAAATAAGTGCTTGCAACAACTTTTAGATATTTCCATGGCTTTCATTTATAATTTATTTACATATATGCTTTAAAAGAAATCCCTCACTGTGGGAGTGAAAAACATACTAGGGTAGTTTTCTTCAAGGTTTTTAACCTTAATTTACTTCTTTTCTTCTAATATGAAGCAAAAACTACTAAGAGTAACATCTAAAAGTTGTTTATTAAAAATTACCACCAGGATTAGATATCCATGGTTTGTTGTTGCTGTTGCTGCTGTTGGTTTGTTTTTTAGTTTTTTGGGGTACCGGGGATCGAACTCAGGTCCTTGCACCTCTGAGGCAGGTGACAGAACCACTGAACTAAATTCCTGGCCCTCCGTGGTTTTTAAATCATACTAAATTTTAAATTCTGCTTAGATTTAAAAAAAGGCATGCATTCATTCATGCACCCAGCGGTTACTGAGTATTTAGCCTGTGACAGGCTCTGTAATAGTCACCAGGGATACAAAACAAACAAGCTAGACCACTTCTGCGTCTTTAAAATGCTCATATTTTAAGATAAAAAACTGTAGATAAAACTCCATTCATCTGTATTTACCTTTACCTGCAACTATGTGCTCCCAGGGAAAGCTCTCTACCTCAAATTCTATGAAAGGACACATTTTGTAACCCCCTGAAAGCTGTCTCCGCACCTCTATGGATGTAAGTAGTGCTGTACCCCATGTACTTTAAGCCATTTTATAGGATGGCCGTGAGGACAGAGTGAGAACACGAGGTGTGTTGTCCAGTGGAACTTTTTGCAAGATGGTAACAATGCTCTACCGTCTTCTCAATCTAATATGATAGCCACATGCCACATTTGGCCACTGAGCGTTTGATATAGGCTAGAGCAAATGAGTAATTGTCTTAAATTTAATTTAAATGTTTTAATTTGTCTTTACTTCAATCGAATTAACAAAAATTCAAACAGTTGCACGTGGCCAGGGAATACCACATTAAGCAGTACAGTCAGTGTGGGATTATTATTTAATAATATTTAATGAAATGAATCATAAGGTAGGCATGTCTTGCCTGTGGAATGGATAAGTTAAATAAAGAGGAAGTGGCAACGTCATGCAGTGACAGACCATGTCACCCGGGTGGCATGACCAGAACTCTTAGCTGAAAATGAAAGGGTTCAATGCTTGTTACGAAGCCAATATTCACTTTCTGTCCTGAGAATACAGGAAGAGAAGGTTTTGAATGTCTGCAAGTTAGCGAGGACTCAGTGTACTTTGGTTACGTATATGAATTAGTTCCTTACGGGAGACAGGAACTGCGGCGAATTTCTTGTCAAATCCCCTGCCTCACCTGGGATAAGGTAACCATACTAGCTCACCACGCCATTATCACTAACTGGAGTCCACATAAAGAAACTTCTTCAAAAAAGTACAAAACCACCCCAAAGCACAAAGCCATCTGACTGTGAATTAAAATTGTATTTTAAAAAACAAACAAACAAACAAACCAAAAACTGCTAAAACATGAAGAACAGATTTTAAATCATTTTTCATGGAGGACAATAATGTTGTTTGATTCCATTTAAACCATAGTTTTAAAAACCGATCATTGTATTTAGTATTTTCCATGGCTTTCATTTATAATTTATTTATATATATGCTTTAAAAGAAATCCCTCACTGTGGGAGTGAAAAACATATTAGGGTAGCTTTCTTCAAGGTTTTTAACCTCAATTTACTTCTTTTCTTCTAACATGAAGCAAAAACTAATAAGAGTAATATCTAAAAGTATTTCAAATGGAAACGTTTTTAAAAGCTTCAGAACTCATATGACACTTTAGCACATGTACTTATTTTCAATGCAGAAAAAAAAAGTTGTTTGAACTAAACACAAACCTTTCCTCAGATGTGGTTCATTTTCAAGTGCTATAATTGATAGCAACAGAGATAATTACGAGGGTACTAATTTAAGAGGACTTGAGGTTATGGGCTGATAGTCAGAAAAGTAAAATCTTAAAAATGAAAAGCTGAGTTGTTAAAGGACAAATCACCATTCAAATAGAGAACTTTCAAAGCTGTAAGGGCTAATCTTGGCTGAAAATAGCTATAGTCAGAATTAATCTGCTCATACACATAAAAGGTGTCCCTGCATGTGTAAGTGCTTCAAAACACCTTCTAGAACATAAGGTAGGCTTCAGTGAAGTAGTTTTGATGGAGAATAAATGTTTAAAATTTTCACTAACAAATCTAATTATACTACAGTCATCTCATTCCCGTGACATGGATGGCTTAGTCCTACA